CTCTCCCTCCCCCCATCCTCCTTAATGCTAGGGATAAAACCCAGTGGGACAGGCATCAAAGCAAGGGCTCTGCCCCGGAGCTGCACCTCTTAGCCCATCAACTTCACTCTTACTTGGAGCATGGTAGGCTGCTAGCTCAGGTTGGCATAGATCCAGAAGCTTCACTTCCTGCTTAAGGCAGAGGTTGAAATGGATAGCTCTTCCAGAGGGAACACTGTGCAGTAGCTGCCAGTGGTGGCACGGGAATTTCACTCTGTCATTCAGAGGTAATTCCACACATGAAAAATGAACCGTGTGTAAGGATATTTACGGTGGGCAGCCTTTTGTTACAGCAAAGGACGGGCATGAAGGTCTATCAGAGGCCAGCGTATATGTGCTAGAACACATCCACTAGGGGATTACTCTATTAGGAAGCATGGAGCAGCATCATATGAATGTATGTATGTATTAGTTTGCTGTTGCTGTGATAAAATACTCTGACAAAAGCAACCTAGGGAAGAAAGGGTTTATTTTGACTTAGGATTCCAGAGGCACAGAGTCCGGCATGGAGGCAGTCAGGAAGACAGGCCAGCATGATCAGAAAGGAGGCGGATCCCATTTCATCTGGGGGGTGGGAGGAGAGAGGGAAGTGTGGTGAGACTGTAAATCCTCAAAGCTCAGCCTCCACTGAACGATACTTCCTCCAGCAAGGGCCTGCCTTCTAAAGGTTCTATAACCTCTCCAAATAGCGCCACCAGGTATCTAATCAGGCAGGTCCCAGAAGGAGCCTTGGTGTGGGAAGGGGCACACACCAGCCAACCAGAGTCTAGCATCCAGTGGTACGTGCCTGCTTGTCTCCAGCAGACCCACCCCATCAAGACAGAGCAGGGACCAGAGGGGAACACACCATTCCTTCAGAATGAGGAGAGCTTTGAGGCACACAGCATCTTTCTCTATTACCAGAGTTGAAAAAGACGTGAGTAACTTCATAGGTCAGGTCGTCGTGCTGTAAGCTCTTCACTAAGACTCTAGTTTTCTAAACTAGCCACAGCTTGCTGGACTGCCTGTGATGCGGGACCACTGTCCTGCCTGTGCCCAAGTGGCCTTAGTTTGTATCTTAGCTTGTATGTGCTTCTTAAGGGGGAAGGGATTCCCTGAGGATTTGTTTCCCAGGACCACCCTCTCTGAGAATCAGAAGGAACCTGGAGGAATCAGCTATGCCCATCTCCCTGCCTGCTCCCCAAGGCAGATGTCCTCCATGACCACCTTACCGATGAGAGGTGTCCATACTGCCCAGAGCTGCATGAGGGGACCAGGTGTCCTGTCTACTGGGAGGCTCCCTTCACAGCAGCTCAGCTCCCAACTGTGACACCCTGCCCGTCCTGTCTTCTGCAGTGGCGTAGAATGAGTCGGTGTCTCCCTGTGACCTCCTGGGCCTTTTCCATTTGGGACAGTGGCTTGTCTGCATGTCACATGGCCCTCCTCCGGGTGGCTTGCCTGCAACAGTGTTTCTTGTTAAGCACAGTGCCTGGAGTCACTCGGCCTGGCTGGAGTCTACATTCTGTGCTTTTTCTTACTTTGTACTGAACTGAACACCACCCTCCACGCCCCCAGTCCGTGTTTCCTATGAGGCTTGGGATGACGACGGCAGTGGCCTTGACCTGCCTGCTGTCCAGGACCAGGAGGCTGCATTCGCCCTTGCTTGGCAGTGCTGTGGCCTGAGGCTTGTGCAGAAGTGTCCCTGGGGAAAGACAGCAAAGGCATCTGAAGGCTCTGCGACTCTCAACAGAGCCCTCGGCTTCTGTGGTACCTGGCTTTGAAGGGAGAGCCTTGCAGGGGCCTCCCCCTCGGCTGGACAGTGGCGGACATAAGAGCCCTGGCCCATCCCTGAGCAGCTCTGATGCTTTCTGAGGAGAGTGGCCTGTTCCCCAGCTGCCTCCCCTAACCTATCCCAGCCTTCAGTGCTCTGCCTGGTGAGCAGGCCTCATTCCTTTTACCAGCAATCTAAGGGCAAGCTGGGACAGTGCCCCCCCCACCCCATCCCTGTTGGGAGACCTCTGTTCCCCTGAGCCTAGACACTGTCCTTACCTCTGCCTGTCCCATCCCTGTACCCCAAGAGCTTGAGATGAGATGCCTTCCCTAAGCACCACTTGAAAATGTTGAACCCACATTTTAAAAAAATATTTATTATTTTATGTGTATGCGTGCATTGCCTGCACATAGGTAAGTGCACCTATGTCATGCAATGCCCGCAGAGGACAGACGAGGCTGCCCGATCCCATGGAACTGGAGTTACAGTTGTTAGCTGCCATGTGGGTGCTGGGATTCGAATCCCAGTCTTCTGCAAGAACAGCCAGTGTTCTTAACCGCTGAGCCATCTCTCCATCCCCTCAACCCACAGTTTTTATGAGCTCATCTGGCAAGGTTCAGGGTCTCATTGTGTTCCTTTTAAGGGGAGTCAAAAGGCAGCTTCGGTGGGTCTAATCTTTACTAACAGATCAATCCTTGGCTCGGTATCCTCCAAGGAAAATCACAGCCACCCACTGCATCCAAGCCTAGCCAGCCTACCTTGGACCAGATGGTGGGAGTGGGTGACAGAGGGGTGATCGTGATGCCCAGCCCGGTGCCACCCCTGGGCTGAAGGTGCGGCCCCTGGGAGGTGGAGGTCCTTCCAGCTTTCCGCCCAGTCGTGTTCCTCGACGTGTCAGCGAGCAAAGCAGACTTTTGAAGGTGTAGGAAGTGGGCTGGTGAGGTGAGAACACGGCGTCTCTGACAGCAGCAGGAACATTTCCCTCCTCGCTCCAGTGGCTGCTGGTGCTCCAGCCCACTGTGGCTCCGAGGGCTCAGGAAGCAGCCTCTCCCGTCACTGCAGCAGGGAGCTCCGTGAGGTTCTGTTCTTCGCTCCAAAATTCAAATCAGGTAATTTGGAATCTATCATCTAACAGCTGTGTTAGGGACGGAGCACACTGGATGTGTTCGCCAGCGTCGCCTCAGATTGCTCTCCCTTTCTGGATCCTTCGGGCCAACATTGGCGGTAGGAATGAGAGTGGTGTGTGTCCCTCCCTGCCCTGCTGTCCCTGAGTAAGTCTAGGCTTTCGTGATCAGCACACACCAGCTGCCTTTCTCCCAGGCATGCTCACAAGTGCAGACGGCCAGCACTTCCATCCACTCGTTGGCTTTGCATCCCCTGAGCTTGGAAACAAGCTGAGTGCACATGTGGGGTGTGGGTTCTGGTTCAGGCCCTTTGCCTTTTTAGGTATGTGGAATAGAGACTTGCAGCTTTATAAAGGAGATCTGTAAGTCCACAGCGTGTTTTCAAGTCCTGCTGTTTATTCATTGAGCATTTTCATATGCATGCCTTGGTCCTGGTGACCTGGGAGGAAGGAAAGCCATCCTCCACCTCTCAGGCATGGCAGTGCCCGTCCGGTGTGTGTGCATGTCCATGTGCATGTGCATGTGGAGGCCAGATGTCTTCTTTTAGAGACAGGGGTTCATTGATTCAGCTAGGCTGGCTGGCAAGACCCAGGGATCTGCCCCCGCCCCCCACCCTGGGCTGGGGTTACAAGCACACACCATCACAGCCGGCTTTTACGGGCGTACTGGGGATCGCTAACTCAAGTCCCCATACTTGCATGGCAGGACCACCTCCTCTGCTCTCATCTATGGGTTCATTCTGAGACTTCAGTTGCCTGTGACCAACATTAGTTCAAATATATTAAATGGGAATTCCTAGAAATCTTAAGTTTTCCATTGTGCCACTCTGAGCACCCTGGGTATGACTTGCCCCTCTTCCCAGAGTGTCTATACCACACACACCACCTGCCAATGTCACCGGCTCAGTGACCCAGAGTTTTCTAAGCAGGTGACCCTCCTCCTGACTTACCACCTGATCAACAGTAGCTCAACAGTTGGTCCCAGTGACCTGGGAGGAAGGAAAGCCATCTTCCACCTCTCAGGCATGGCAGTGCCCGTCTAGTGTGCATCACAATGCCTGTGTCACTCACCCCCTTCATCTCCCATAGACCTTATACATCTGACGCCATCCCAAGGGGAAGGCGGTTATAGGACAGTAAGATATTAACAGAGACCAGTCACACAACTTATACGGTATGTTACATTGTTTTGATTTGCTGTTGGCTGTTCATTTCTTACTGTGCCTAATTTGTAGTTAAGCTGCATTGTAGCCATACACCTAGAAGAAAACCACAGATAGGGATCTACACCACTCTGTCGCAGGCATCCACTGGGGTTGTGGTAGGCCTGCCCACAGGTAATGCGGCCCCTGTGCAGATGTGGGTGATTCTCCAAAAAGGGCCTGACTCTCAGTGTGCAGTGCTTTGTTTCGTGAGGTGGCTTTCATTACTCATTTTTTAGGTAAGCAGCATCTGCTGTGTCGTATAGCGTGGTTATGAATTAGTAATGAACTATGGTCACAACAAGGCTGTATGCAGAGCCTGGGCCAAGGAGGAGAAACAGCTGGGGACACAGGTGCTTGGGCAGCCTCTGGTCCCAGTGACTGGAGCCACAGTGCAGGGACAGTTTCTGGGGGAGCAGGTGCCCGACCCTGTTGGCCCTAGAGAAAGAAAATGTTTACCTGCACCACTCTCTGCTTGCCTGTCAGAATGAAAAAAAGTGGCTCTGGCATGTTCTTCAAGATTCTGCCATTTCACATGAAATGATTTTACTTTATGGCAATGAAGGCTTGTGCAGGGGGCCTGGGCAGAATGAGAAATGTGCAGAGATTGGTTTCATTGGGATGTGAAATTGACTGTGAACAAGGTGATTTATACAGGCCACTGTTGGTGCTGGTTCGAACATACACGCAGTCCCCAGCAAGAGAGTCCTATTCCGGACTATCCCCAAGGGATCCCAGGCCTCTGCTCTGTCTCCCTGCTCCAGCCCCTGGGAGGCTCAGTCTGCAGCAAAGATCAAGTGATTGCAGCTTTGATGGTGTTGGTAGAGGGTCATCCAGGCCCTAAGGAGGACCGCTTCATGGTCATGTGCCAACTCCAGCACTAACCAAGGCAGAGGACACACGAGCGCTCAGCACTGCTTCCACATCTCCTTTGTAGACAGCGGAGACCCTAGGGAACACAAGCCAGTTAATGACAGCTGGTATCTGACAGCTAAAGATGTCGTGGCCTCTGTGAACCCCTACCAGTGACCTTGGGCCGTTGGAGTCAGGGGCTAACCTGATCTCCAGAGGCTGAGGATGTAAAGGAAGAGAGCAGGCTGGGCAGCAGGGCCTGCTGGGAACCTTTGTGTTGGGCTGTGAAGCAAGTACTGCTTTCTCAGCCCTGTGGCCGGACATGCTTTGGAGTTGCAATGTAAGTGTGGCTAGATGGCCAGCAAGCTGCTGGACGTTGGGAAAGTGACTTGCCTCTGCGAGGCCTTGGTCTCCATGTGTCTGTGAGGTAGGCACACATTTACTGCAGAAACGTAGCTGTGCTGGGGCCTGGAAAATGTCTGTCTGCCATCCGCTGATGGACAGTTCTGGTAGAGGCCCCTCCCAAAGCTTTCTGCAGGTCTCTGGAACAAAGGATGCCCAAACATGGCTTCACTCACACACACAGAAAGCGGGAGGGAGAGGGAGAGGGGGAGGTGGGGTGGGGACAGAGACACAAACAGAATGACAGAAAGATAGAGACACAGAGACCCATGGCCCTGGAGAGCCTAGTAGCCACATTTCTAGGCCCCAGCACTGCCACATCAGGAGCTATAGGGCGGGTTTCTGCCATCAGAGTTTAAACATGATGTGGTGGTTTGAATGAATGTCCCCCACCGGCTTTAAGTATTTGGATACTTGGTCCCTGGTTCCTGGTGCTGTTTGGGGAGGGTCATGCTGGAGGAAGCAGGTCACTGGGGGTAGGCTTTGAGAGGGGGCAGGCTTTGAGAGTTCAAAACCACGTCCCATTTCCAGTCCGTCTCTCTCTGCTTCCTGTGCCTGCCTGAAGATGTGAGTGCTTAGCTTTCTGATCCAGCCGCCTCTGCCGTCATGCCTCCTCAGTGATGGATGCCCTCCGGAACTATAAGCCATATAAGCTCTTGCTTTTATAAGTGGCCTTGGTCATGGTGTTTTATCACAGCAATAGAAAAGTAGCTAATGCACATACTCCAGTGGGTGCAGGCTCCTTACCCTGGGGCTTCATGCTTCAGTAAGTACACAAGAACCATTTGTTTAACATCTCTCTCCTGAGAGGGTGGCAGAGACAGCTGAGGCCTGACAACCTGGGAGGGGGTCCCAGGATCGTAACCTATACGCAAGACATTATTCTTAGAACCCTCATGTAGCAAGAGCCTCTTCTGCAGAATTTCTGTCCTCATCCCTGTGTGTTTGGGAATGGGCCCAGCAGCTTATAGACAGAGAAGCCTGGCCATCTCAAGTGCCTGCCCCTCCATCAGTAGCCAGCCCTCTGCCGGGAAAAGGCTCCTGCCCCAGAGCTTATTAAAGATCTAAATTTAGCTCTGGAGGAAGGGCCCTGGGCTCAGGATGTTTGATGAATGGCTCATGAGATCTTCTAACTGCCGTTACTGGAGTAAGTAGGATTTTTAAAAAGCACCTTACCACCCTCAGTGAATCTGAACGTCAGTAAACACGTTGTGCTGTTGAGGGGTGGGGAGTATGCTTTTAATGAAGGCACAGGCACAAAGATGCATTTTAATAATTAACAGAGGGATGGCATTAAACTTCACAGGGTGGAGAGAGCCAGGGTGGGGAAGCTGTTTCTCAGGCCCTGAGCCTGCAACTAGGACTGGGCTGAAGCAAGAGCTAAGGAAGGAGACACCTTGTGACCTCAGAGGAAGTGGTGCAGAGCTCCAAAGATGCTCCTTGGCTTCCGGTGGGCCTTCATTCTCGTGCACCCGTTGTAAGGTGAACATGCTTTAGGTTAAAAGTACATTTACTGCACTTAAGCTACTGAAAACTGTAGCTTAGCCCAGAACACCTCAATCATGCTTGGACAGTGGCCTTGGCCCACAGCTGGGCAAAGTCACCCAAATGAGCCCATATATATATATATATATATACACACACACACACATATATATGTGTGTATGTATATGTGTGTATATATATTGTTTGTTTGTTTGTTTTGGTTTTTTTTGAAAGGATCTCCCTGTAGCCCTAGCTGTCCTGAAACTCACTATGTAGACTAGGTATGTAGACTAGGCTGGCCTTGAACTCACTGGGATTAAAGGCGTGCGCCACCACGCCCAGCTTTCCATTTTATATTTTTAAAAGTGTCCAGTGTCTCATAGGATTTAAGACTGAAGTGAAAATGTAACATGGACTTGTGTGGCTGTTCTGCAGCGGAACCTCTGAAATGAACCTCGGGGTGTGCATAGGGCAGGGCTAATGAAGGGTGAGCCTGGGCACCGGCTAGAAGAGAAACCAGCCAAGTCGGGGGGCAGGGGCAGGTCCTTGATGCTCCTGCAGAGTCCGGTTACCCCCTTTGTTGTCAGGAGACAGGCCATGACGGACAGGACCTCAGCTTTTACTAGGTGGCTGGCCTGTTAGTCTTGAACATCAGCTTCATTTCTCTGGGAACACGCTCAGTGTCAGTCCTGAGAGTTCTTCTCGGGCTGGCCTTAGGGACATGGATTATGTTGTTTGACCTCAAACCCATCAGTCCTCAAGATCCCTGAATCCCTTTTCTGCAGCATCTCGTAGAATCCTCTCCATTCCATTTTCCTATTGAGCAAACAGCCTGTTGGCAAAGACCCTCTGTGGAGAGGCAATGCCTTGGCCTTACCTATGACCCGTATCAGCTGGACTTGGACCCCTGCATCCCCACTTAATCATGTTAGCCAATGGGCAGATATAGGCCCCAGCATCCCCACTTAACCATGATGGCTGTGTGGGCTGAACATAGGCTTCCACATACCAGAGACTCCCCCAACCAGGAGGAGTGTGTCTTGGGGGCAAACCTCGTTACCTGTGAGCCTAGCGGCTTTTACTTCTGCAGAATGGCTTTGGGTGACACTGCTTCGTGGACTCAGAAATGTCAGCTCTAGGGAGCAGGTGCCCATCTGGAAGAGTCAGTGTTCTTCAACCCTCAGAACTGTCTGCCCAGAGGTGGTCACTGAGCACTGAGGAACAAGAGGACACAGACAGCAGGTGGAACACTGGCCTGGGTAGTCAGAAAGAGGAAGTTAAAGCAGCGTTAACGGCAGGATTTTAAAGAAACTAAGGACAAGTGACATATTTCAGTTGTTCTCCAGACAGGATTCAACCCCACACTGGAGGCTTGGGACGTGGGCTCTGGGGCCTTTGGTGTCCACACAGCTTTGAATAAGATTGTCAGTGTTGGGTGTTATTTGTGTGTGTGTGTGTGATTCATGCATGTGTGGTGGTGCATGTGTCTGTGGATGTACATATGTGTGGTGTCTGTGTGTTTGATGCATGTGTGTGATACATGCATGTGTGGGGGTGAATGTATGTGGGTGTGTCTGTGTATGTACATATGTGTGGTGTCTGTATGTTTGATGCATTCATGTGTCTGTGGTGTGTGGATGAGTGTGTAGTAAACTTGTGTCTGTGTGTGCATGTGTATGTGATATACATTTGTATATGTGGGGTTAGCCTGTGTGTATATATTTGTGTGTGGTACGTGTGTGTCTATCTGTGCATGTGTGTGGTATATGCATATGTGTGCAGGTCCACTTACCTGAGCATGCTCACGAGGGGCCAGAGGCCAGCCTCAAACGTCTCCCTCCGTAGCTCTCCACTTTATTTTTTGAAACACCATGTCTCACTGGACCTGGAACTCGGCGTTTTTGCTAAGCTGGCTGGGCAGTAGCCCCTGGATCTCCCTGCTCTTGTTCCCTATCACTGGGGTTGCAGGTATGTGCCTGCCTGTTCCATTTCAGTTGTCAACGTGACAGCCCTGGGGAGAGAAAACTTCAACTGAAGAATTATCTGGATCAGACTGGCTGGTGGTCCTATCTGTGAGGCATTTTCATAATTGCTACTGATGCAGAGGGTCCAGCCTGCTGTCAGCAGTGCCACTGCTGGGCAGGTGGTCCTGGGCTGTGTAAGAATGCAGGCTGAGCACTAGGCAGGAGTGCAAGCCGGTAAGCAGCGCTCCCCCACGGTCTCTGCTTCCCGCCTTGAGCTCCCGCCGTGGCTTCCCTGGATGATGGATTGTGACCTGTAAGATGAAACAAGTCCTCTCCTTCCCAGGTTGCTTTTGATCGTGGTGTTTATCACAGCAGAAATCAATCCAGAGCAGCATGGGCGCTGGGGTTGGACTCGGGTCCTCATACTTGCATGGCAAGCACTTCCCCTGAGCCAGCCCCCAGTATGGAGTGTGAACCAGACCTTGCCAGTGTATGCAGTACGTGGAAACTGTTTCCCTTCCTGAGCCACGACCTCTCTCCCTTCAAGTGAAAGCTGTAATTTCTACCTCAGTGTTGGGAGAAGTAGATTAGATTATGCGGTCTTTGTAAACTCTCACCCAGGTCTCCAAGTAGCTGGGACTCCAGACAAGTGCCATCATACAGCCCTAAAAATCTGTTCTGTGTTCTGTGTAGATGGGGAAACAGAGGCCCTGTTAAGGTCTCATGTCACAGTCGTATCCTGACTGCTGTCTAGCTGCCTCTCTCATGGTATATACAGTGGGAACAGGGAGGGTGCTCAGGCCCCACCTCCCCATGGTTGAAGGTCCTCTCTCCTCACAGATGATTCCCCAGGGGCATCTCTTGACAGCCGGGTTCATCACTCCAGCTTTGTGTAAATGAAGCACTCCCACTTCCATACGTAGCCTCTGGGCTCTGTGTTGACCAAACACCTGTGGTGCCTCACCCCAAACACAGCTGAAGTCCAGGAGTACGTCCTGTGACCCAGGGGAACTCTTCCCTCCATCCTATTTGCCAACCATTGGGGAGTAGGTGGACAGGCCCCCTGGATCTATGTCTGAATCACAATGAAGAGCTGAGGGGACCCTCATAAAGCTCAGAAGTACCTGACTCTGCTGGCCCAAAGAGTATCCCCCACCCTGCCAAATCCACGAGTACCTGGACCCTGCCCGGGGCAAGACTTCAGCTGGAAATGGTATCACTTCAGATGAACCAGCTAAGGCAGTTGCGAGGCAATCATCCAGACAGAGGGCCATTGACTGTTGTCCACATAAGGAGAGAACACCATAAACACGGCCAGACGCAATAACTGAAGTAGTGTAGCCTAAGCCGTGGGAGGCCAGGAGCGCTTGGATCTGGAAGGGATAAGAAGGGAGATGCCCGTAGAGCCGCCAGAGGGAGTGTGGCTCTGCCAAAGCCTTGATGTCAGATATCTGACCTGCAGAACTATGAGAGAATACATCTGTTGTTTTAAGCCAGTAAATTTGTGGGCATTTGTCATGGCTGCCACAGAGGACATGCGCACTAGCAGACACGAGCTGGACCAGCATGTTGGTCCTAGGTCGCGATGCCAGAGGGCCTCTGCAGCCTGTAAGAATTCCACAGGAAACCAGCCTACCATGCAAGGTGGACTTGGAGTGGGAGGAAGACCAGGCTGGACCAACCTGTTGTCCCTCTCATGTTGCTGGCAGTGCACTTCTGTGTCTCTGACCCTCACCTCTGTCACATTTTCTCTAGTGCCCACCATGTGGGCTAACCAGGGTCCAGTGCATGGATGCACACCAAAGGACATTTGGGGACACAAACTTGGCTCCATAGGTCTTAACACATATGACCGAGTACACATGATCTGGTGGGAGGGTGGATTGTAAGAGAGGTGAGGGGAGGGGAGGTCTACATATGGTCAAAATATATGAAATTCACAGAAATTCAATTTAAAATAGTTTAAAAAATTAAAGACCAGGGTCTAGTTGGGTGTGAAAAACAATTAGTTACAGGAGAAAAAGAAAAGAGTGGACCTCCTAAGATGTCTTTGTCAAAGGAGCCTCTGAAAGTTCGGAGTTTTGAACAGACCCTCCTATCTCTGAGATTAAAAAGGACACTGTGTTCTTGGCAATAGCCAGTCTGCACTTGGAGATGACACGGTGCTCACGAGCAGTACCTTTCCTCCTGGTTTCTAGTCCTCACAGTACATTTCTTTAAAAGCGTGCCCTGGGACTGGAGAGATGGCTCAGTGGTTAGGAACACTAGCAGCTCTTGTAGAGGACCCCAGGTTCAACATCTACATGGCTGCTAACAACCATCTGTAACTCCCATTCCAGGGGATCCAGTGCCCTTTTCTGACATCTGTGGATATTGTACAACACAGGTGCATTTACCCACATGCAAGCAAAATACTCATACACATAAAATAAATACACAAAAAACTAAAAACTTGCCCTATTTCTGTGTGCTTTTGTAGTAAGTGCCCCCCCACCCCAGTTTCATGCAGACCTCAGTTGCAACACAGGACTCCACCACCTGCTGGGGCTCCAGACAAATCCATCTTTCTCAGAGGCATGTGTCATCTTGTCTAAACTGTGCCTGTGCTGTTTCTCTGTTGGCATTTCCTTAGGGGACAGTCTGCCTGTGAGGGAGGTCTGCCCTGCCCAGGCATTTCTAACCACTCTGCACCTCTTCTCTTCATGCAGGCTGGCCATGGGTGACCCTGTCTGTGCTGGGATTCCTGTATTGCTGTTCTCATGTGGGTATCGCCTGGGCCCAGACATACACAGTTCATTAATGCTATTGGGCAAGGCCACCTTCAAAGGATATGGAAGAGTACGGCGTTTGGCCCAGCCCTCCCTCTCCAAGAGAATTTCTAAAGGATCCCTTCCCGCTCTTCTGTTGAAGACGGTTCACTCCAACACTGGTAGTTTGAGCTCTCAAAAGGAATGTGCAGCAGGATTGGTAAAGGTTTTTGTGCCCCAACCAACCCCTTCAGCTTCTCACTGCATCATCTGGAGTCCATGGCAGGCTCAAGTCTTGCTCAGCAACACATGGTGATGTTTGCTCTAGAATCTGGTCCCCCAGACCCTTTGGGCTCTTCCTTTACCAAGAATTCAATGTAATCGATGTTTATGATTTTAGTATTAAGGTCTGGCTGGCGCTAGGCCTGCCCTCCCCTGAGCTGCCTTTCTCAAATGTTATGTGAGATGGCCGCAAAGCTCAGCCATGTTTGTCGTGACCAGGCTAGGGTGGACAGATGCTCTCCTGGGGCATTCCAAGGAGCTCTGTGGTTTGCACTCAATCGGGGGCGGGGGTCATCAATATGTAGCTGCTTCTCCTGAGATTTGCAGCGACAGGTAGCCGTGTGTGCCTCACACAGCTGTTCCCCCCACAGAAGCAGAGTTCAAAGGCCAGAGAATGTGTGTTCACAGACAGGTGCTAATGGGTAGGTGCACCGGAAGGCTTCCCGCAGTCCCAAGTCCCAAGTGTGTCTTGCTCAATATGTTGTATTATCTCATTCTGATTCAAATAAAGCAGAGCCTTTTTGATACATAATTCATGTTTCTGTAGACTGACTTTGAATGTTTTAAAAGAGAGTATTTAATATCTAAACATGCATAACTTGATACCCCTCCAGACAGATTCTAGACCCTCTACCCTGAACAGCAGGTGCTGGATATCCCACAGTAGTTCTGTTTTGGATTTGTGAGGGAGGGGTGTGTGAAGAAGCTTTAAGAACTGAAGCCTCCATGTGTCTGTCTTGGGCCCAGTGCCCAGCATCCCAACTATGTGAATTGTTACTGGGTGATAATTAAGTGCAAGGATGAACTGACTCAGTGCAGCCTCATCTTCTACAGGACAGTGTCCTTGAATCTTCTGTGAACGTTAACACAATGAAGCGTGCACTCTCAGAATGCATGCCCAGCCATCCGGTGGATTCCCTTTCTTCCGAGCTGCTTTGCTTGGGAGATCAGAGCGGGCCAAACAGTGATGGCCTGGGATGGGTATGCTGTACTAGAAAGAGGCAGGTGACCGGGGCCACAGTGATTGCAGCTGTGATTTGGGAGAGACTTGAGGTGGGAGGTCACAGGGTGCTTCGAGGGTCTCGGGAGCATGGGGGAGCAATGATCATTGAAATAAGCAATAGAAAGAACCTTACAGACCAGCAGAGTCAGGATCTGTGGTCAGCCAGAGCGTGTTGGTCTGAAACCTTCAAGGAAGGAAAGGACTTGCTCAGAAGTCTGCTGGGAATGGTGGCACATGCCTTTAATCCCATGGGAGAAGCAGGTGGATCTTTGTGAATTTGAGGCCAGTGTGGTCTATACTTTGAGTTCCAGGCCAGCCAGGGCTATACAGTGAGACCCTGTCTAAAAAAAAATTATATAAAAACAAGTACGTAAATGATTGTAGGGAAGTATCTAATGTGGGGCCATCTGTAAATAATACAGAAGATTTTGAGCTCTTCCAAAGAGACCAGTTACATAAATGCAGATTTGTTCATGAAACTGCATTGGTAGAGTCAGCAGGTGTACTTGGCGGGAATAATCCTGAAGATTATTACACTCCAGAGAGGTCTCAGGAGTTGGTGGGTAGAGACTGAGGTTAGCTCTTGAAGCTTGACTAGTCCACATTGGATTATCCGGGGCCACTGTCCTGTCTCTCACTGTTTTCTGCTATGATGCTAAAGTGAAGAACTTCCCTCTACAGTCCTCAGGTTGCTGTAAATAGACCCTTGAGGCTGGTTTCTGGGTGGCAGGAGCCACCAAGGAGCATCAGTCATCTCATCAGCCCTGGCAACTTCCGGTGCTGTTCTGGGAAAAGGCTGGATGGGCCCCAAGAGTCTCTGGCCCTGACCTAGCTCTGTGGGCAAGGCCAGCACTCCAAGGACAGCCGCAAGGACGGAAGCAAGGTGTCTGAAAGCCAGTGTGAATGCTGTCATGTGATTAATTCTGGGAACCACAATAGAGTGCTTAATGGTACTGTGTGTTCGGATTAAGTTGTGGAAATGGCAGTTGCCAGACAACAGTCTAGGGAGAAGATTAATGATACCTGTAGGATCTAAGTATTATCTTGTGTGTGCTCACGCCTGTGCTGTGTGTGTGTTCCCCTTAAAGAAACTGAGACTGCTTAAAATGATGTAATTACTGGATAAACTTTAGGCATTAACCCTAATTATGATTTTTCTTTAGCAAACACACCCCAGACGTAGCTATACAATACACTGTACTTCAGTGTGGTCATGAGAAGATAGATTTTCCAGGTAGACCAGCTGCCTCTCTGAGGCCTTTCTGCAGGGAAACTTTTAAAACAAGAAAAAAACTTCTCATAAAATAGTTGAATCCTATTTGTCGTCGAAAATGTAACATCTATAAGTTTGTTCTCTATTTATAGTCTATTTGACTAGTTGCAAAAATCATATTCACAGTTACTTTTAAACCACAGGAGATGAAAGATGTGATATCCAGTGTTTATGAGATGTTTCTGAAGCGAGAACTTGTTTTGTTTTGCTTTTTTAAACAATAGCATTATTTTTTGTCGTGCTCTCTTTCCTTGTAATTAAGTAGGAGGTAGAGGGACTGTCTTTAAAAATATTGCAATGCTGTGGCCTGTGAGGTCACACAGATGTCCTCTCATCACAGATGTCTCATCTCAGAATTACAGTACTGTTTGTAGAAGGACAGATAGCACTTGTGAATTATAGGGTCCGCTAAGTATGATCTAGGACTCAGGTTGGCAGGATTGTGAGGTCCTGCCATGAGAAACACAGCATCTGGGACAGCAGCAGGACTGCACGTGGGCACACAGGGCCTCCTGGGTCAAGCGGTCCTCTACCTGAAGAGCCTCCTGGTCTGCCAGTGAAGTGAGGCAAGGGTCAGAACTCAGCATTAGTGACACAGAGTCATTCGGAAGACAGTCGGCTACTACGCTCTGCATGGTGCGTTTTAAAAGGTAGGGAAACATTAATATATTTTTGAGAATCTTCACTTTAAAAAAATTTTATTTATTAATTTTATGTGTAGGTGTGTATTGCCTGCATGTAGGTGAGTGTACCTGTGTCATGCAATGCCCGCAGAGGAGAGAAGAGGCCATCGGATCCCCTGGAACTGGAGTTACGGACAGTTGTTAGCTGCCATGTGGGTGCTGGAATTTGAACCGATGTCTTCTGCAAGAACAGTGTTCTTAACCAGAGCCGTATCCCCAGCCCCTTCACGTCTAAGTGAGAGGCGAACCTAAGAGGTATGTTAAATCAAGTCTCATGGGTCTCACGATGCCAGGTTGCAATGGCTCCACTGCGGTCTGTCCCCTCTGAACTCACACTGAAACTTGATTGCCGTTGTGGTAAGAGGTGGGCCTTTGTCCTGGTTTGGCCATGAGATGTCCCACTTTCCCTTCTGACTCCACCATGTGATGAAGCAGCAGGCGATCATCACGTGTCACTATCCGTGTGTGAACTTAGCAGCTTCGACGATGAGCCCAGTCAACTTCTGCTCCTTAAATTATCAAGTTTTCTGTTGTACTAACAGAAGGTAGTCTACACCCAGATTTTTTTTTTTTGAGACAAGGTCTCCCTGTAGCAAAGGCTGGCCTGGAACTTGCTATGTAGACCAGGCTGACCTCGATCTGACAGAGCTCCACCTGCCTCTGCCTCTCAAGTAAGTGCCAGGACTAAAGGCATGCACCACCAGGCCTGGCTAAGACCCAGTGTTAAAGACAGCCCAAAGCAGATGTGGTACTTAACAATAGGTGTCAAAGCACCTTCTCCAGTTGATTATCTCAGCCAGTGAGGCTTAGACCAAACCCTCCAGGCTCTAGAACTTTAAAATTTCCCCGAACCCTATTATAGATTAAGATCAACTGTTAACTTGACAGGATCTAAAATTACCTTAGACACAAATTTCTCTGCCTGCCTGTGAGGGTTTGCTAGATTAGGTTAATTGAGGTGGGAAGACCCTCCCTGAATGTGGGGGGCAGCATAGTCCCTGCGCTGGGATTCTGGACTGTAGAAAAAGAAAGTCAGCTGAGCACCAGTGTGCATCTGTTTCTGCTTCTTGACTGTGGACACAATGTGTCCAGCTGTCTCAAGATCCTGCTGCCACACCTTCCCTGCTGTGATGGACTGTGCCCTCAAACTCTGAGCCATATAAACCCTTCCCCACCGTGATGGACTGTGCCCTCAAACTATGAGCCATATAAACCCTTCCCCACCGTGATGGACTGTGCCCTCAAACTGTGAGCCATATAAACCCTTCCCCACCGTGATGGACTGTGCCCTCAAACTGTGAGCCCGACCCATGCTGCCACAAGTGGCTTTTGCCATGTATTTGATCACAGCAGGGAGACAGACAGTGGACACACAGGTGCTATCCAAGCTAGAGCTTCCCAAAACTCGAATAGAAAATACCTCTCTATTCTGTAGGTCAGAACACCCAACTTAATGACTTACCAGTACATAAGGAAAGGCAGAAACAGGTATGACGTATAAAATAGTTTATTATAATAAATAAAACTTTTTTTTTTTTTTTACAAATATCATTTGTGCTTGTTTAAAAATGTCGAAGGGGGTATCATCCACGTGTGCCCGTGTGCTCCTCGTCACATCTGCACAGCCATACAGCGGAGCTCTGGGCAGCACCCTCAGCTGACCACAACAACAGCCTTAATGTGTTTGGGCTTCTGTTTATTCATGCTCATTCAGACAAAGTGACAAATGGGAAAGAGAGAGAGAAACCTGATAAAGGATTTGGCAGGATTCGATCCAGAATGTTCCTAAAAGGAGAAGCCCCAGAGTGGTGACCTGCTTGTCAGTCCAAGTGTCCTTTCAGTGAAATACTGGATTCAGACAGTCCCCAACTGATGCATAAATACAGTGTCTGAATAGTCAGGGTACATTCATGAAAGGCTGCTTCATTCTCAACATGAAAGCAGTCCATCTTCTCATACAAGGTTGGTGAACTCCTCAAAAAACCAATGGATCCATCGGATGACTCGGAAGTCACAGGTAAAGAGACAGTGCTCTGAATGATGAACAGCAGGTGGAGAGGGCCCCACCAGGTCTTCAAAACCAGTTTGAAAGTTCCAGAATAAGTCTGATAACTACTGGGAAATTGAAGTTTCATTTGAAAGGAATTTAAGCTTCAGGGAAATTCACATTTAGTCCTTTGAACTGTGGGGCTACTAACGAGTCTCGACACCAACACCTTTGGTGGGAAAATGGTACTTTCTTGGATGCTCGGGACAACAAAGGTTCATCTGAGTGGAGGCCACAGGAGCTGGTGAAGGTAGTTTTTGACCGGAGTAAAGGCAGTTTATGGAGCAGGGACGCTGACGTGGGAGAGGCCCCTAGAGGCTGCGGGGAACCGCGGTGGACCTCCTTTCTAAGCAACACTGGGGAGGAGAGAAGAAGGGGCATTTGCGGCTGCATCGCAGCTGGGGTTCCACTCAAGGGTCTTAAGGCTAAACGTCTTTATTGCAAAACAGTGGCACCCAGGACCTGCATCTTTACCACGACTCTTGAGAGTGTCTGTGAGATTTCAGTGTGACAGAGATGGAGACCTGCCTCTGACTGTTATTCCTAAAGAATTCAGTCTCTACTCCAACCTGGACCTACTTGGCATTCTTTTCTCCCACCTAACAATTTGGAAGCTGGAGTGCTTCATTGGGAGGGGAGGAGTGGCTGAGTGTATTTTTAGTCCTTTCCCAGTTAACCTTTTGAGGCAGCACAGAGGCTCTGAGAGATGGAGGCTGTAACAGGCTCCAGCAACCAGGTAACAAGAAATCAAAGCTATGCATGAGTTTCCAAAAGCTTGTTGAGGGCTAGAGGTACGGCTCAGTGGTACAGCACTTGCCTAGCATGAGCAAGGGCCTGACCTTGACCTCCAGCACCGAAACAAAAAACAACTTGCTGAAGGCTGCAGAAATGGACATAGCTGTTAAATACTTGCTGCAGCGTGAATGTAAGGAAGTTGTATTAACTGTGTGCTAAACCAGAGCTTTGCAAAGGCAAGCACACTACGGCTAGTGGAGGAGCCTACTGCTGATGTATGAAATGGAAACATGCATCGATGGCATCCATGTGCCCACCAAGAATGGCAAATCGGCTCTGCCATTTTGCTGCGATGCCCAGCCACATTCCTGTATACCCTCAGAGGAGGAGAGCAGGTCCCACAGTCAGGAGACAAGGGGGACTACCTCACTTCAGGACAGCTGGTTGGAAATGGAGCTTCCCAGTGGAAGCCATTCACAGTGGGGAGTAGAGAGACCTGGTGGCCAGTGCTTACTGAGCGTGGTAGAACATATCAGGTACATGTCTACTTCAAAAGGACAAAGTTTCAGTGTTCAGTTTAATATTGAGCAACTCTTTCCTTCCCAGCCACCAGATAATGGTTAATTCAGGAAGACGCAGGGAGGTGCTTTCTGAAGCTTGTGGTCCTTGCTCAGGACCCTAGTTGTGTCCTTACAAGGGTAGGTGGTTGTCACAAAGTAGCCTTTGGCCCAGTGCATGTCGTAAAAGGAAAGTAGAGATGGGTTGGCTCATTCAAAAATTGTTTCAAAGAAATTACAGCAAAACTCCATAACATCCTTAAATGGAGAGAAATAAAAGCCACGTTCACATGTTCCTTCAGTGCTACCCACAGGAACTCTGATGGGCCATGAGATTCCTCTCTCCCCCAGGGTCTTGACTTCCATCATTAGCCCAAATTGCAGTGACCCCGGAGTGCAGCCTGAAGCTTCATTTGTCCCTACACAAGAGTGGGTGTTTCATCAGCTCCAGCATCAGATCCAGATTGGGGGAAACACAAGGATGCCTGCCTTCCTCAGACAGAGCTGGCAGGACGGAGAAGGGCCTCTGCCCACTGGCTGCGCCCCTCATCATGCCCTGGAGCATTCTGTAAGGGTTTCCAGGGGTGGATGCTCCTGAAAGCCAGACAGTGGGGTAACTAGGGACTCCTACACAGCCAACAAGTGCGTTTGAGGGGTGATATTCAAGGACATTGAGGGGGCGGCTGACAGGTACCCCTCTAGAAACTTCACAGCCTCTGCCCCAAGGGGTGGTTGGCATCAACTGGAGTTAGACCAAGGACCCAGCTTTACTCAGAGTCATCAGTGAATGCCTCTGAATGTTGCCATCCAAAACAATCTAATAGTGTCTCAGTGTTGGATGCTAGGGGCCGTCCTTGTGAGCATTGTGTAAACCTACATATGTACACACTGTTGACCTCCCAGGGCCACATATCCTGTACAGACAGCTCTGGGTTAAGTCCCAGCATACGCCATAACCACTGAGTATGACTTAAAGGGGCCAGGGTGGGCAGCCCTAGACAGACACCCTTGAAACACTGAGAATCTTTGGTAAGCAGATCTGACTGGTCAGGTTCCCTGGAAATACTACAGTTCTGAATCCTGACAGCACTTCAGTACTGAGCTTTGTCTCCGGTGTGCCCTGGACTGGCAGCTCTTTCCTGTCTGATGCTACTGAGAGAAATCCAAGCCTTCTGGCAACCGAGGCAGCAAGTGTCCCTGAGCATCATGGTGTGGGGGATTTGCATGGCACAGACATGGCTCTGTGTATCCCCCCAGACCATAGTTCCCACATCACATTCCCCTGCTCCTCACTGACACATCTTAAAAACCAGGGCTTTATTCACTCTTTTCTCCAGCTCCCTGGAGGATATGCATGATCCTGCCATCTTTTTTTAAAGTAGGAAATGGATTTGCTTTCAGATAAGGCTAAGTGTGGCTCCTGCGTGTCCTCTAATAACCTCATGCAGCGGATAGAAATCCCCATGAGAATCAAAATATGAACAGAGCACTTGCTACAATCATTTTTCTGAGGTTGTGTGTGTCTACTTTGTTAGCAAAGCAACGGGGCTCCTGCCCCTTCCTACCAGTGCTCCATACCCTGAGGAAAGCCACGGTAACACCTGGGAAGAGATCAAGGTGGGAAGGAAGCAGCGCAGAGCAGAGCCAGACGGTCACCTGGGGTCAAGAGCATCCCCGTCAATCGTCCCAGAGGAGCAAACTGTGGACCATGCAACAGAGTCTGCCCCAGCCCTTACGTGTGCCTCTCCACTCCTGGGCAAGGAAACCTGAAGATCTGTGCTGTGTGTGGGGGAAGGCACGCACAGCACCCACTGTTCTGCCTTTACCCTCAGAGACCATGGAGAGGTGCTCCTCACTGTCCTGCAAGCTCCCCTTATCATGAGCTTGTTTCAAATGACGTGAGTAGGAAAACAGCGATGTCAGGGACGGAGACTTCGTGGTCTAAGCCTGCGGGGTCCTCGGCACCGACCTGCCAGTCCTCACGTGGCTGCCGCTCTTCCCCAGTAGGGTTAATCTTTCATAAATATCGTAGTGGTAAAAAAAATTTAAATGAAGGAAAACACCCTTCAGAGAGACAGCATGTCCCGCCTTCCACCGCTGTGCAAGGCTGTTGGATGCCCCTGCCGTCTTGCAGGGTGCCCGGCCACATCCCCCTTATCTTTTCCAGAGAGAGACAGGGCATGGATCCATACCTGTCCCCACTTTGATCTCCTGTCTGGAAAAGCCTACTGTTGATCACATGGGTGGTGGGGTGGGAGGTATCCAGGGCAGGGGTGTGGGCTTTTGTCTTTTGATTTGTTGTTTTGTTCTGAAACAATTCTCTCAGCTGGCTCCGAAAATGTCTCTCTCGGACTCTGGGGACTGGGGCCTGGAGAGCTCGAACAGCTCCTGGGGAGACTGGGAGGCTCTTCTGGAGGTTAATATCCTGAGTATCTCCGTCAGCTGCTTCTCGATGCTGGTCATTTTGGCATTCAAGGCCTTGATGTCCTCCTTCAACTCGTGCTTGACCTCCAGAACTGTGGCCTGGAGTGTCTGCTCGGGGATGGGATAGAAAGAGTGCTTGACCTCCGCCAAGATGGGGCTCCGGTCCTGCGGACTCCTGGCCTCGCCCGCGTTGTCCAGACGCAGGTCGCTCTTGGTGATCCCACTGTCGCACGAGTCTGTCTTCTTCAGCGTGGCCTCGCCGGCCGCCTTTGTCCTCTCGGGCAGCGTCTCCATGGACTCCGCCTTGGACACCTGGTTCCAGTCCTCGCCCTTCCCGCACGCATCTCTGAAGCGGGCCCAGCCTCTGCGCTTGGCACAGTCGCCCCCCTTGGGGCCCGGGCACTCGGAGCCCGGTGCGCGCAGCTTGGCCTGGTCCGACCCCGCAGGGGTGGAGGCCGCCTGGAAGGACACGGGCGTGGCGGGGCTCTCCCGCACCGTGACGATGCTGGCCTTCACCAGGCTGCGGCTGACCGAGGCGTGGTCCTTGAGGACACTGCCCTTCTCCACGTCCAGGTCGTCCGGGTCCCGGATGCCCCTCTCTGCTGCCAGCCTGGCCTCCTTCTGCTGCCGGAACCTCTGGAAGAGTCGCCGGACGGGGTGGTCCGGAGGCAGGATCAGCGGGGCCTCGTTCTTCCGCTTCATCCGCTCCTCCTCCTCCCGTTTCACGTCACTGATCTTCCGGAACACAATCTGGAAGGAGAGGGACAGCCCGTGTTAACTGGGAAGGAGGTGGGTTCACGGCCCTGCCAGCCCTCGGGGCTCTTCCTCCTGACCGACTTGATCCCCAGCTCTCCAGCCTCAGGACTTCATCGCCCACTGCTGCCCTGCTCAGGGTGTGCCGATTATTCTCCACTTACACAAACTAGTCACGAGGAAGGGGAACCAAGTGTGGAATTGCCTCCCGTGGACTGGACAGTGGCCCTGTCTAGGGAGGCCTTTTCTTGATTGCTGGTTGATGTGGGTGGACCCAGCCCACTGTGGGCAGTGCCACCCCAACGGCCGTATGGCAAGAGTAGCTGAGCAGACCAGGGGCTGGAGGCCAGTATGCAGCCTTCCTCCATGGGCTCTGCTTCAATTCCCCCTGTAGGTCCGATCTGAGTTCCCGCCTCAGCTTTCCTGGATGATGGACTGTAAGGATGGAGTAAGTCCTTCCCAGGTTGCTTCTAGTCACAGCGACAGAGAAGGGAATGAGAACAAGAACCAAAACCCCACCTAAGTGCTGGAGGCTGGACAATAAGCCGCTTCCTCCCAGTACTCCTAACAAGTGGCAGATGACAAAGTCAATCTACAAACATCAGTAGCCTTTCTATATACCAGTAGCAAGCAATTGGAGAAAAGATACAGGAAACCCTCCCATTGATAGTAGCCTCAAAAAAAAAAAAAATATATATATATATATATATCTTGGAATAAACCTAATCAAAGACATCAAAGCTCTCTAAATCTTTAATGAAAGAGATTGAGGAAGACACCAGGAGATGGAAGGACCTCCTGTGCTCATGAATTGGAAGAATTAATATTGTGAAAATGACCATCCTACCAAAAGCAATATATAGATTCAATGCAATCCCAATCAAAATCCCCATAACATACTTCACAGAATTAGAAAAATCCATCCTTATATATAGAAGCACAAAAGACCCCAGATAGCCAAAGCAACTCTGCACATAAAGAGCAATGCTGGGGGGATTATTATATCAGATTTCAAAGTATGCTACAGAGCTATAGTTATAAAAACAGCATGGTACTGGCACAAAAATAAACACACAGATCAATGGAACATCATTGAAGACCCAAACTTGAGTACACGCAATTTCAACCACCTGATATTTGACAAAGGTGCCAAGAACACACAAGGGAGGAAAGACAGCATCTTCAACAAATGGTGCTGGCAAAACTGGCTCTCCACCTGTACAAGAATGAAATTAGATCCATATCTTTCACCTTGCACAAACGTCAACTCCAAATGGATCAAAGACCTCAATGTGAAACTGGAAACCCTGAAACTATTAGAAGAAAATATTGGCAGGAACTTACAAGATATCGGTGTAGAAAAGAATTTTCTAAATCGGACAGAAGTTGCTCAGGAATTAAGGCCAGCAATCAACAAGTGGGACCTCATTAAACTAAAAAGCTTCTGTACAGCAAAAGAATAAGAGAAAACCCACAGAGTGGGAAAAAATCTTCACCAGTGACACATCTGACAGAGGTTTAACATCTGAATATATAAAGAACTCAAAAAATAAAGAAGAGAGAAACCAAATGACCCAATTAAAAGATGGGCTAAAGATCTAA